AAGTCACTGGTCAGATGTCTGGTCTCCATTATTTCCCAAACTTAACAAATATAATCTTCATTTTCTGCTGCGTCAAAGGCTTGGATAAACTCTCTGCTGCAGAGTGTTGTCTCTTCCTTCTTTTCCCCCATTCTGGTTTGTCCATGTAAACTACAAATATCTCTGCTTAGGGATTCTTCTAAAGCTCTCAAAGAACTTTCAAAAGACAGTGGGGAGGTGGCAAACCATGGGGCCGAAGGCCAGCCTCTGCTGTCTTTTGGTTGGGATTTTCGACCTTTAATAGGGAAAGTTTAACACCACAGTTTTACAGCCGATACTTATTCTCCCCCTTAATTGTGCTTCTGAGCATGTCTAGTAGTTGTTTAGTTTACCCCATACATTGTACATGGCTTACTTTATGTTTCTTTTAAAAAGAATTTTAAGAGTGAGAAGTGAGGGTATGATGGGGTAGCCACAGTTTTTATGGACCAAAAGTCTGCAGGCAAAGAATGTGCAAATAAAATTGGTTTATAAAACTTCTAATAATGTTGGACATTGATAATAATACTTTAAAAAAATTTTTTTGCTTGAAAAGAAATCAAGGAGAATAAAAATGTGGGCCTAGACTTCTCAAGGATTTTTCTTGGCTGTCACTCTAAATTTGGAAGAGAAAAGCTTGCATTTTCTAGTAGCAAATTTTCTAACTGCAATTTGAAGCTCTACCTTTTTCAACATGTTTAAATTGAGATTGGACCTGTTAGGATTATTGTAATAGAAGATTCCTACAGCAGGACTTTACAGGTGTCTAAACTTGGCAACTTTAAAACTTGTGGACTTCAACTCCCAGAATTCCCCAACCGCCATGCTGGCTGGAGAATTTTGGGAATTGAAATCCACAAGTCTTAAAGTTGTCATGTTTGGAGACCCACAGATTAGATCAATATTTCTCAACCTCAACAATTTTAGAATCTGTAGACTTCATTCACTAGCCTGCTGTCTAAGAAATTCTGGGAGTTGAAGTCCAGACATTTCAAATTTAGTGAGGTTGAGAAAATTGATCTCCCAGATCCACTTGAAATCTTACATTCCATGATGCTATGATTGGCTGAGTAGCTGAGATTTCCTTTGTATGATAATTGGTATATCCTTAGTTCAGTGATGTCATTTCCAGAGGTTTTGAATTCTCTGGGTCCTCTTGCTTATAGGCTTGATATGCAATTTTTCTTCCACGAGGAACATTGTAAAGTAATATGTTTGATTTAAAAAAAAAGTCAAGGAGGGAGGCCTGGAAGAGTTTACAGATGTTTTTGAGCTCCCTATGGAAGCTTCTGCTTCCAAATGTGCAAAATTCAGATTTAAAATTACTTGGTATGGCTGGTTTGAAAAGTGGTAGTGAGGAAGCAACTGTATGCTGGGGAATTTTGGGAGTCAAAGTCCACATCTCTTAAACCTGACGGAGGAGTTCATAGAACTTCTGAACTTAGACTGAACTTAGATGCTTTGTTCTGGTTGCATTTGCTTAAACTTAGATGCTTTAGACTAGGGGCTCCCAAACTTGGCCACTTAAAGATGTATGGGCTTCAACTCTTGGCTGGGGAATTCTGGGAGTTGAACTCCACAGGTGTTAGTGGCTAGAGTTGAAAAACCCTGCTTTAAATGCCAAATAATTATTAATAATTCCTCTGACCCTTTTGAAAACAGTGGGCATTTCCACATCATGCATCCAGGAGGAGTGGAGCCAGGTGGGGGGGAGAATTTAAACTAATTACATACTATCTTTTTCATCCAATGTTATAGCTGATGAATGCTACTCCACTTTGAGATCTCATTTTTAATGCAGCTTCTGGAATTCACAATCTGTTCTTCTTCCCCATGTAGGATCAACCATGCTGAGAGCCAAGTCCATCTTGGCTGCCTCCACCCTACAGCTTCCCTTCCTCCTCCTTTTCTTGACCAGCGTCTCTCCCTATTGCCACGTCAGGACAGCCGATGAATGCAATGAGGAAAAGGAATTTGTGCCTGGCTACAACCTAGCTGGAGGTGGCTTTGACATCACCACGTTGAAGAAGAAGTCCCAGGTGTTGGATCTGAGCCGGTGGCGGAAAGCCGATGGCACTTGCACCATGTGCAGTAACCCTTTTCTGCAGGATAAACCTCTTCAGAGGCTTCCTTTAGTGGTCGTTGACTGGACAGCCAAAGTGAGTTGTCAGAGGAATGTCCACAGTTCTCTAGAAACCTCGGGCATCGATACGGTTCACAACGCAGCATCTGATGTGAAGAATGACTGGAAGGTTGGGCTTGATGTACAGCCGAAACCTGGTCAACAGGTCCAGATGGAATTTGCTGGAACTCACTCCGCTTTGGCAGACTTCACCATGGCGAAGAATAACAAAGACAAGTACAATTTTGCAAGGCACGAAGTCTCCTGCTCTTATTACAGGTGAAGGAGGCCTGGGCAAGGGATAATGGCTGGGAAATCCTCCAGGGCTTTACTGCAATCATCCATTCGTATGGCAGAGGTTTTGAGGGCGCCTTAAGAGGAAGTGTGCAAATCTAGTTTTCTAGGCCTGACAGGTAACAGGTAGTCCTCAGACCACGACTGAGCCCAAAATTTATGTGGCTAAGCGAGACAGACAGTTGTTAAGTGGGTTTTGCCTTATTTTACGATCTTTCCTTCTGCAGCTGGTAAGTGAGTCCCTTGTTAATTTAGTATCATGGCTGTTAAATGAATCTGGTTTCCCCATTCACTTGGCTGGTTGGAAGGTTGCAAAAGGGGATCACATGATCCCTGGAACACGACAACCATCATGAATATGAACCAGTTGCCAAGTGTCCGAGTTTTGATTATGTGACTGGGAATAGCAATAGCGCTTAGACTCATATACCACTTTATAGTGCTTTACAGCCCTCTCTAAGCTGTTTACAGAGTTAGCATATTGCCCCCAACAATCCTGTCCTCATTTTATCCACCTCGGAAGGATGGAAGGCTGAGTCCACCTTGAGCCTGGTGGGATTTAAATTGCCAAACTGCAGGCAGTCAGCAGAAGTTGCCTGCAGTACTGCACTCTGACCACTGCGCCACCAAGGAATGCTGCAGTTGTAAATCTGAAAAATGATTATAACTCACTAATGTGGACTTCAATTCTCAAAATTCCCCAGCAGGCCATGTTAGCTGAAGAATTTTGGGAGTTGAAGCCCACACATCTTGAAGTTGCCAAGTTTGAAAAAGATTGCCTTAATTCAACCAGCAGCTCTGAAATTTATTTATTTATTTATTTGTTTGTTTTATTTATTTATTTATTTATTTATTTTATATTGCCGCCTATTCGCCCATGACAACTCAAAATTCTTATCCAACTGTTCATTTAGGGATCATTCAAAGTTACAATGGCACTGAAAGATCTGACTTATAACCAATTTTCACAGTTATGATCTTTGTAGCATCTCTATGATTATATGACCAAAATTTGGATGCTTGGCAATATTTATGAGCGTTTCTGTGTCCCAAGGTCATATGATCACCTTTTGAGACCTTCGACAAGCAAAGTCAATTCACTTAACAACCGGGTTACTAACTTATCAACTGCACTGATTCACTTAACTGTGGCAAGGAAGGTCGTAAAATGGAGCAAAACTCACTTAACAAAAGTCTCACTTAACAACAGAAATTTGGGCTCAACTGTGGTTGTAAGTCGAGGATTCACTGTATTAACTAGCTTGAGTCAGCCAGATGTATCCACCTGCTAAGGCCTAGAACAGTGGTAGGATTCAAATGTTTTTACTACCGGTTCTGTGGGCGTGGCTTGGTGGGCGTGGCATGGGAAGGATAATGTAAAATCTCCAGTCAGAGGTGGTATTTGCCGGTTCTCAGAACTACTTTAAATTTCCACTACTGGTTCTCCAGAACTGGTCAGAACCTGCTGAATACCACCTCTGGCCTGGATGGTAATTAGTATTAATTAATAACATAATTTGTCTTACCAGTAGTCCTGCCACCTGATGGAAATGAGTCATTCTTTCCATTAGAAGTGAAAAATTGAGCCTCTCCCAACTTCAGTGTTCCATTTGCAGTGCTTGGCTTCCATTTACCGTATTTGCCGGCGTATAAGACGACTTTTTTGCCCTGAAAAACATGCCTCCAAGTGGGGGGGTCGTCTTATACGCCGGGAGGACTCCGACTCCCACTTCGAGCTTGAGTTGCAGCCGGGAGGGAGGCTGGGGGGGGGGGGGGGGTGTGGTGTGTGTGTGTGTGTGTGTGTGTGTGTGTGTGGCGGGTGTCACTCGCCACACGCTGCGCAACCTTTCCCCCTCTTCCTTCCTTAGCGGTGTGGGGAGGAGAGGATTCGAAGATCCTCACGTGCGGCGTACTTTTCTTTTTCTTTTTTTCTTTTTGCACGCAGGTTTTGCATGCGGGCGGCTGTAGGTTAAGGATGGGGGAGCCCCCGGGTGGGTTATCAGGTTTTACGGTGCTTCCAACATGTGCGAACGGTGGGAGAGCGGAGAAGAGAGCAAGCGAGCGCCCCGCTGTGTGAAATCCTGCCGTCAAAGCAACACTGGGGGAGGCAGGGTATAAATTTACCAGGTTAATGTAGCAATGGTGATTAATGCCCAGAACATTGCGGGTATTGGGGTGTGTGTGTGTGTGTGGTGGTGGTGAGGAGAGGTTGTCCTTTGAATGCGGAAAAGTAGGTGTGACCTTGTGTAGGAAAATAAAGAGATCCTTTTTAGCGTGTTTGGCTTCTTTGCCTCCCCTCGTTCGTTTTGACGTGGAGATAATGGCTTTCGGGCGGGAGGGGAAGAAAACGGTAGCTGGATCATTTCAAATTTCACTTACTCTCCTGCCTCACTTCAATATGTCTGAGCGACTCCAGATACTGGAAGACTTTTTGAATGAAAGTGTTACCTCCATTTTTTTTTTTTTTAAAGAGGGCCACTTGGGGAAAAAAAAAGATTCTAAGGAATTCCTTGTTTCTTGATTAAAGAGAAGGCATTGAATATACTGTTCCTTGGCAGCCTTTTCAGTGTCCGGGTTTTTGGTGTGTGTGTGTGTGTGTGTGTGTGAGAGAGAGAGAGAGAGAGAGAGATCAGCTGTATTGAGAAGAGAACGTTTCCTGTGTTCTCATTTTATTTACAACATATTTTACGCTTAATGGTAAGCAATGAAAAATATTTTTAAAACTCATTTCTAAACTCCATAGCTATTTGCATATTCTTGGTTCAAAATTGGATTAGCTCATTTCAAAATTGTCCAAAGCAGAAAAGTGCGTCAAAAAAAAAAAAGTGCAAAAGTGGAAGGTGTGTGGAAGAGGGGGTAGTCTTATACGGCGAGTATATAACAAACTCTATATTTTGAGTGGAAATGTTGGGGGGTCGTCTTATACGCCCAGTCGTCTTATACGCCGGCAAATACGGTATTTATTGAAAAAATAATTATGCTATGGCACTGATTCCAGGTAGCTTTAAAAAGTAATAAGGTAGTCCTCAATTTATGAGCACAATTGAGCCTAAATTTTTTTGTTGCAAAGTGAGAAATTTGCTAGGTGAAGTTCATCCCATTTTAGGACTTTGCTTGTCACATTTGTTAAGTGAATCACTGCAGTTATTAAATTAGTAACACAGTTCTTAAGTAAATCTAGCTTCCACATTGACTTTGCTTGTCAGAAGGTTGCAAAAGTGGATCGCATTACCCCAGGACACTGCAACTGTCATAAAGGTGAGTCAGTTGTCAAGCATCCTAATGTAAATCACGTCACCGTGGAAATGCGGCAACGATTATTAGTGTGAAAAATGGTGCCATTGTAACTTCGAATGGTCACTAAATGAACTGTTGTAAGTTGAGGACTATCTGTACACCTTCAATACAAAGGTAAAAAAGACGAAAAGAGAATGCAGGGGAAAGGGGAAATCTGTGCAACATGTCGATAAAGATTCTCAATCATCCAGGTTGAGTTGTTTGAAGTCATGGCAATTGGGCTTATTCTCTTGTTAGTCTGCCTAACTAGCTTGCTCTAACTGATGAAGCTGCTTGGATGAGCAGGTCTCAAACTAACAAGAAAATAAATCCCATTGCCGTGACTCAACCTTCAGATAACTGTACCTGGGTGACCATCGAACTTGGTTCAAATAGGTCTCTTGGTGGATCTTGCCTGAGATTCACTGGAATTCAGATCCCTTGCTATCTCCTGGTAGCATGTAGCCCTGGTATTTTTTTTAAATCTGATATGTGCTTTTATTTAAGGTGGTACAAGACCTATTTTTGAGAGGTTGAGACAGCTGAGGGAGAAGGACTGGCTTGAAGTCACTCACTTAATTTCCATTGTTGAAGGTGGATCGGAACATGGGGCTTTCTGCTCCTTGTTCAGCATCTTCACCCCCATACTATCCATTCTGGGCCAAGTTGTCAGCCAGTTCTAATTCTGCCAAACTGAAAACCCCAGAAAAGATTGACCATGTGAAGGTACCGACCCAGATAATATAGCTGGCATCATCTAAGTCAGGGGTCCCCAACCACCGGTCCACGGACCGGTACCGGTCCACGGAACAAGTCCTACCGGGCCGCTGGTTGCTGGGCGCCGCCATCTTTTTTTGATGAAAAAGTGCTTCCGGTGAGCTTTTCCGGGTAGAAAGCTCACCGGAAGCACTTTTTCATAAAAAAAAGATGGCGGCGCCCAGCTGATGCCGGTACCGGGCCGCAGCGCCCAGCTGATGCCGGTACCGGGCCACGGCATAAAAAAGGTTGGGGATCACTGATCTAAGTGATCGATATATGATGACGTACAAACAGAAGATATTTGTCTGTGCAAGCTGAACAAAACCAATATATGGAGTTGAAAAGTACAAGCTTTGAGAGGTCCCTTGTTTTTAAGGACTTGACAAATTCATGGAGGACATATCCTTCTCTGATCATTAGAAGAATCCTCTGGGGATTGAACCATCTTCTTTCTAGGCAATTCAACTCTCAATAAGAGTGGTGGGGAACATCTCAGCATCTAACTCAATGGTTTTTAGTCTAAATAAGTTAGGATCTCTGGACTACAACTCCAGAATTTCGCAGCCAGTGTGCTGGCTGGGGAATTCTGGAAGTTGAAGTCCAGACATCTTTAAAATCCAGGGAATTCTGGGAGTTGAAGTCCAGACATCTTAAAAGTTGCCTAATTGAGAAACCCTGATCTAGTTACTCACCAATTCTGCAAGATTGCTACCCTTTGATCCTCAAACCGCTCCTTTATTGGAAGGCCTGCCAGTTCTGTCACCCTACTGTGTGATCTTCTGTTCTTCCTTTGCAGCTTCCGGATCAGCCAATACATCCCCTCCAATCATTTCAAGCACTCCCTTCGCAATCTCCCTGCCAAGTATCGACCCAACTCCCTCCTGGAATATCAGCAGCTCATCGACACCTACGGGACCCACTTCATCAACCACCTGCACTTGGGAGGCCGCGTGAGGGATGTGACAGCCTTGAGCGTCTGTGAGACAGCTTTGGACGGCACGTCGGCTGATGAAATCAATGACTGTCTAAAACTCGAGGCCTCGGCCAACATTGGTGAAGGCAAAGGGAGCCTCAGTGCATCCTACAATGCATGTGAAGAGCTGAAGAAGAAGAAGTCATTCAAAGGAAGCTTCCGCGAGACCTACAAAGAGAGACACACCGATGTGGTTGGAGGGTACCAACACACGGACTTGCTTTTTTCAAACAATCAGAACTCTGAACATTATAAGCAGTGGGAGGAGAGCCTCAAATCTATGCCTGCACTCCTTTCTTACTCCTTGAAGCCCATCCACGATTTGCTGCCTAAAGGTGACCCAAAGCGGGACAGTTTGCAGCAGGCAGTGAGCGACTACATCAATAAAAGGGCCCTATGGAGGAACTGCACCCAGCCTTGTCCTCCCGGCTCCCAACGCAGCGTCCGAGATCCCTGCTCCTGCATATGTCCCAATGATGGCGCCACAAACACCATGTGCTGCTCCCGGAAGCGAGGCCAGAGCAAGCTAAAGGTGATGATCCGGCGTGCTTATGGCCTCTGGGGAGACTACTTCACAAGTACAGATGCTTATGTCAAGGTATCCTTCCATGGGATTAATAGCCAGACATCCACTGTGTGGAATAACAACAACCCGGTATGGATGTCTCACTTGGATCTGGGGAGGGTCCAGAGCATGGGAGAAACCAGCAAGCTCCGAATACAAGTCTGGGATGAAGACAACCGTTATGATGATGATCTGCTGGGGACGTGCGATCGAACTCCCACCTCTGGGAAACCTCATATCGAGGCGTGTTACTTAAATCATGGGCACCTTGAATTTCAATATCATTTGGAATGTGGCCCTTTCTTAGGAGGGCCCTATTGCATGGATTATGTCCCTCAGCAGCCACACAAGGCTGCTTTGTTACAACGTGGAGCAAAGTGAACCCTGTGATAGAAAGAGGTTGCTCCAGGGGGTAAAAGGCTACAGGTGGTCCTCAACTTAAGACCACAACTGAGCCCCAAAATTCCCATTCCTGAGTAGTTAAGTGAGTTTTGCTTCTTAGAGGTCCTTTCTTGTCGCAGTTGTTAAGCAAATTGCTGCAGTTGTTAAGTGAATCATGCAGTCATTAAGTGAATCTGGTCCCCCCCGGACTTTGCTTGTCAGAAGACTGCTGGGAAGGTCACAAATGACCCCAGGACTGTCATGCAACTGTCATAAAATTATGCCACTTGTCAGATGCCCAAATTTTCATCATGTAACTTTGGGGATGCTGCAATGGTCATATAAAAAATGGTTGTAAATCCCTTTTTTCAGGGCCATTGTAATTTTGAACTGTCACTAAATGAATGGTTGAAAGTCGAGGACTACTTGTATTCATGCTACTGCTTATCTTTTTTTTTTTAATATAAAAACAAGTTTTATTTTTTTTAAAAACATACTTAAACAAATAAACATAAAACATAAAACTATCATCAAATTACATACATATAGTGTGTCGGTTGGTTACATATCTTTCGTGCTTCCTCTCCATAGTCTTCCATAGTCTTCACTTATCATTTATATAAATTCTAATATTATCAATCAAATATCTATATATACATTAATTATCAATTATTAATCCCTTATTTGAGTCAATTGTTATTTACTCATATGAGATATTCTATATTTGCTATAAATTTGTATTGTAAATTCTTTCAATGGTATAAATTTTTATACATATATTCTATATCATTCTATCACCTTTAAATTTTTCTAACATATTTCATTTCCATGTGTTTTTATCTAACCATTGATAAAATAAATTCCATATCTTATAAAATTGTTTATCCTCTTGTTCTCTAATTTCAAATGTCAATTTACTCATTTCAGCACTATCCATAATTTTCTTAATAACTTCCTCTTGCGTTGGCATTTTTTCATTTTTCCAATTGTTAGCAAATACAATTCTAGCCGCTGTTAATACATTTACAATCAAATATTTCAGTTCTTTATTGTATATTTCCGGTATGATTCCCAATAAAAATATCTCTGGCTTAAAGTCTATGTGTTGTTTTATCATTTTTTCCAGCTATGTGTGGATTTTAGTCCAATATCTTTTTGCATCTGAGCATGTCCATCACATATAGTAATATGAACCAGGTATCTGATGACATTTCCAGCATTTTTCCGATTTATTCTTAAACATTCTTGCAATTCGCGTCGGGGGTAGATGCCACCTGTAAAACATCTTATACAAATTTTCTTTATACGCAGTTGACATTGTCATTTTATAATTTTGTCATTTTATAACTTTGAGACCACAATTTTTGCCATTTATCTAGATCAATCCCATATCCAAAATTTTCCCCCCAAGCAATAATTGTTTCTTTAACTTGTTCTTCTTCTAATTTAAACTCTAGTAAATGTCCATAAAGTTTTTTAATTACCTTTTCATTACTACCTGTCAAAACTTTATCTAAATCAGTCAACTTATCATAGAAAACTTGTATTTTAAGATCTTTAAACAATTTGGTTTCAGAAAAAAACTATCCTGCAATCTGCAACTCTTACACTGCAAAAATATATGGACTACACAACTCGATCAGGGCAAAGCAATAGACACAATCTACATAGACTTCTGTAAAGCCTTTGATTCAGTGGTACACGACAAACTACTCCTAAAACTAAAATCTTCTGGTATCTCTGGACATCTGCATAACTGGAAAGAAGCATTCCTGTCAAACAGACAACAAATGATCAAAATTGGGAGCGTCCTATCAAATTATGTACCTGTCAACAGTGGTGTCCCCCAAGGCAGTGTTCTAGGACCAACTCTCTTCATACTCTACATAAATGACCTCTGTTATCATATTAAGAACATCTTCACTGACAATGTAAAGCTATTCAACACCACAGACAATACTGCTACCCTTCAAAAAGACCTCGACTATGTATCAGAATGGTCAAACAAATGGCAACTTCAAATCTCAACAAATAAATGCTCTGTCTTACATATTGGCAAAAAAAATCAGAAAATAAAATACAAGCTAAATAATCAAGACCTTGTTGAGGATCCAAACTCTGTCAAGGATCTTGGAGTACTCATCTCAAATGATCTAAGTACTAGAGCCCACTGTAACTACATAGCCAAAAAAGGCATTAAGAGTTGTTAACCTAATCTTACGTAGCTTTTTCTCTGGTAATATTACACTACTAACTAGAGCATACAAAACATTTGCTAGACCAGTACTCAAATAAAGCTCATCAGTCTGGACATTACGTATCTGATATTACGTATCTGATATTAACACAATTGAGAAAGTCCAGAAATATTTCACAAGAAGAGTTCTCCACTCCTTTACTCGTTGCAGAATATCTTATGCCACCAGACTTGAAATTCTAGACCTAGAAAACCTAGAACTACGCCGCCTTCGGTTCGATCTAAGTATAGTATATAAAATCATACATTGCAATGTCCTACCTGTCAATGAATACTTCAGCTTCAACCATAACAATACAAGAGCAAACAATAGATACAAACTCAAGGTTAATCGCATCAAACTTGATTGCAGACAATACGACTTCAGCAACAGGGTGGTCAATGTCTGGAATACTCTTCCTGACTCTGTGGTTTCTTCCCAAAACCCCAAAAACTTTAACCTTAGACCTTCTACTATTTACTTCACCCCATTCCTAAGAGGTCTGTAGGGGGCGTACATAAGCGTACCAACGTGCCTACCATCCCTTGTTAGTCTTGTTAGAATTTAATCAGATTCTTGTAAATTCCAGGCAGTCTCCTCCTTCCAAATCTTATTTTTATTCTTTTCCTCTCCCTTCCCACTTACAGCAAGAAGGAAAAAAAATTTTTTTTAATGTTCAGAAATCCTTATTGTCCCCTTGACATTTAATTATCCAGTTTAAATACCTCTTAATGCCAAAGCGGGTTTTTTCTGATTTCTCATAAGTTCGCTGTCAACGTAAGGAGGGAGAGTGAAGAAAAAAAAAAACTTTCCCTTTTAACTTTCATTCGCCACTTCCGAGTCTTCTTAGGGAGCGATGTATCTTTTACAAAATTTAAATTCCTGGGTACCTTAGTTGTTGCTTTTGTCCCGGTCAGCCAAAAACTTTCACTTCTTAACTTCCTCCTGCACTTTCTTTTCCAGCTGAGTGCTTCTTTGAGGCAGCCATTTCTGACCGCTGCTCTTACCGCCTTCAGAAAAGGGAGTTTAGCTGGCTGGGGGGGAGAGGTGCGATTCCTCTCAACACTGCCAGATCTCCCCTATCTTCACCAACCTCTACGGGGTGGCTTAGCCCTGAAGCTGGGTGGCTCGGGGCACTCCAGTGGCGAGCGCAGGCAGAAACCGCGCACGATCGCGGATTCCTGCCTGCCCCGAAGCGCTACAAACCGGAACCTCTCTCCAATATTGCTTTTTAATCTTATCCCAATTGAATAGCAATGCCTCTCAAATATAATGTCTTCTAAAATGCCCCTGTGTTTTGGTTCCCTTGTACCAGAGGAAAGCATGCCATCCCAACAGCAAATCATGTCCTTCTAAAGTCAATAATCTACTATTCCTTAGCGTTATACATTCCTTTACCCACATTAAATTTGCCGCCTGATGGTATAATTCCCAATTGGGCAGGCCAAATCCTCCTCGAATTCTTGCATCCTGCAGCAGTTTAAGTTTTATTCTTGCTTTCTTTCCCTGCCAAATATATTTCAACTCTATTTTATTTAAATCTTCAAAATACTCTTTCCTAACCTAATTGGAATTGTCTGGAATAAGTATAGAATCCTAGGTAATATATTCATCTTAATTGTTGATATTCTCCCAATTAACGATAATTGTAAATTTTCCCATTTTGTCAAATCTGTTGTGATCTGTTGTTTCAGTTTAAAGTAATTATCCTCCTTAAGTGTACTACATCTTGCTGTCATATATATCCCTAAGTACTTAACCTTATTTGTGACCTGGATCCTCAGAACTTCAGCCAATTCTTCCTTTTGTCTTACTAATATGTTCTTAGTTAATATCTTTGTTTTATCTTTGTTTATTTTCAAGCCTGCTACCTTTCCATATTCTTCTATCTTTTCTATCAATTTAGGTGCTGTTTCTAGTGGATCCTCTAGTATGAAAACCAGGTCATCTGCCTACTGTTTATCTTTAAAGCCTGCCTTGGGTTCCTTCATATATGACTTTATTTAATTACTGAAGATCAGTGTTTCTTAAACCTTAGCAACTTTAAGACAGGTGTACTTCAACTCTCAGATTTCCCCCTAGCTCGCTGGGGAATTCTGGGAATTGAAGTTCACACGTTTTGAAGTCACCAAGGTTGGGCTACACTACTGTAAATCTATCTATAAACGCTAAAGCAGAGAATGTAAAACAGAACACATTTCTTATGTACCATACAAACAAAACTAACCCTAGAGACAATGTAGAATGCTTTCTCGCATGTAAGATAAGATAAGATAAGATAAGATAAATTTATTGTCATTGTACTCAGAACCTGAGAACAACGAAATAAGGTGCTCTTTCACAACATACAACTGAACAACACCAAAAGACATATACAAATAACAATGTAAAACAAATTGAAACAATTAATAGTTAAAAACTATACAACCAGGATATATATATGTTAAGACCACCAGATTCATAACTCTGCATTTAACCTGATCACAGCACTTGGGTAAAAGCTATGTTTAAATCTACTTGTCCTGGCTTTCAGCACTCTATATCGTCTTCCTGATGGTAGGATCTCAAACAACGAGTGGCCTGGATGTGAAGGGTCTCTCAAGATCTTTTGTGTCTTCCTTCTACATCCCATGTTGTACAAATCCTCCAATGAGGGAAGAGAACATCCGCTGATGTTTTGTGCCCTTTTTATCACTCTTTGGAGTGCCCCTTTCTCCGCCTCTGTACAACTCCTAAACCACACACAGAGGCAATAGGATAAAATGCTCTCTATAGAGCTTCGATAAAAGGCAACCAACAGACTCTCTGGCAGTTGTTGTGATCTTAAAAGTCTTAAAAAATACAATCGTTGATGAGCCTTTTTTTCTAAGGCTAAAGTATTTGCCCCCCATTTTAGATCTTGTTTCAGGGTGATACCTAGAAA